TTTCTCTTGGTGTTGTACATTCTATGGGTTTTGACAAATGTAAAATGACATGTATCTATCATTACAATATCATACAGAATAGTTTTGCTGCCCTAACAATCCTCCATGCTCCACCTACTCATTCCTCCCTCCCCTGTAATCCCTGGCAACCACTGATATTTTTATAGTGTCCATTGTTTTGCCTTTTCCAGAACATCATATAGTTAGAGCCATAACTATATGGCTTTTCAGACTGGCTTCTTTCACCTAGTAATGTATATGTAAGGCACCTCTGTGTCTTTTCATGGCTTGATAGCTCATTTCTTTTTAGCACTTAATAATATTCTGTTGTCTAAATATACCACAATTTATTTATCCATTCACCTGATGAAGGCCTTAGACTTTTCATTCATGTGTCAAGTACCAGACTCTATATTTCTAAAACTCCAGGGCCATATACCAAACCTTCTGAATGGTTCCATTAAGGCCACCCAAACTTAATATGAGGAAGTGTAGTAGGCAGAATAATGGCCACTAAGATGTCCACATCCTAATCCCCAGAACCTTGGCGTATGTTGAGTTACATGGCAAAGTGGAATGGAGGCTGCTAATCAAATAGGGAAATTATTCTGTATTAAGTGGGTGGGCCCAACGTAAGAGGCCTTGAAGTGGAAGCAGGAGGCAGAAGACTCAGTGTCAGTGATGGGATGCGATAAAAACAACCTGCTGACGCTGGCTGTGAGTCAGGAATGTGGGGGTCGAAAGGAAGGCGATTCTTGAAAATGAGTGTGGGAAGGATGCTGGGAAAAATAAACATGAGCTGTCCCATTCAATACTTATAAAAATGTATACACAGTTAGAGTTAGATAGTGCTATGTTAGAGTTAGATAATGCTATGAATATACATGTAGATATGTGTATATCTACATATACATATATACATGAAAATAGGAAGAATGAACTGGTATACAGCTGGTTTTTCTCCCCTGCATGGTAGGTAATTTTTTTTCTTTTGCTTACCTGGAATTTTTCTATAATTAATATTATTATCTACACTAATAAAAGAGAAAGATGCAAATTGACCATACCTTTGCGATGCCCACCAGCCAATCAGGAGTATGCAAATAAACCCAACAAAGATGGCGGGTTAATTTGCATATGCAAGTGCTGAGCGGCCAGGGGCAGGGCAAGATGCTTGTGTTGTCACCATGGCAACGATGCAGGCATTCTGCACTGCCCCAGCCGCACTGGGCAGCATGGGAAGGTGGAAAGGTGGTTCCGGGCCAGAGAGAAGGCAGTGCTGGCAGCCAGGGGAAGGAAGGCCCATTCTTGCATGAATCTTCTTGAATTGGGCCTCTAGTTTGTATAATAAACAAAGGATTTAAAAAGCAACTATGCATACTTTTTCCAAGAGTCCTTTTTACTTTCCTGACATGACTTTGCCCTTCCCACTATGGCCACAGGCAGGGCTCTTTGACTTGGATGGTTCAGAGAAGCCTCCTCTATCCTGGACTCAGCCATCTTTCCATGCAGCCAGGTTCTCTCCCGCACCCTCCAATGTCCAGACCACTGCTTATGTGGCACCAGATGCAATGGCCTGTTTTCCTGTGGTCTGGCCCATTGTCGCTGTTCCAGAGAAACCTGCCTCCACATAATGTCCTTAAAAAGAGTAACCCATTCCCAAGTTTAAGGAAGACTGGGGGAGATCCCCCATAGTGCCCTTGGTTCTCTTCAATCCTGGGAGAGTTTTCCATTAATTCCAGAATAAAAAAAAAATAAGATTTTTTTTTCCACCAAGAGGAACACTATTTCTGAAGGCAAGGCCTATAGCTGTCTTTCTCCTTGCACCTGGGGCAGAGCAGGCATTCTAGAGGAATGGGTGGATGAAACGTCCCACCTACCGGTCTTCCTTCTTGGTGTCTCTGTCCTATCTGCTCTTCCAGGCCACACATCTAGAGTGAGGTATGGAATCTTTTAATTATCTGGGCTCTGCCGGTGAAATCCCCCATCACATTGTGTGCAGGAGTCCTCTCTGAGGCCTGTGAACCAGCCTGACCAGCTGTAGTGGCTCCCATCTCATTTCAGAGTTATTCTTCCCTCTCTTCCCCTCTCTGTGTCTCTGCTCCTTCCCCACTCCCCTCTCCCTGGTTTGTTGTCCACTCTAGTTTCTTGGTCTCTTTTCCACTCCCATTGATTATATCCATGGTCCACCTTTAAGGATAAGGTGCATTCCAACCAGAGAAAGGGGAGAAGTGGTCAAACTGTTTCCTTCCTCCATCCTTATCCAGAAAAGGTCTTAGAACCTCTGTAGCATGGCCAGTGGGGAAACAGAAAAATGAGCTTGGACTTCCTTTTCTCTCATGACAGCAGTGATTTTTGGTCACTCCTGGTCTGGCCCAAACTTCCTCCTCTGTTTGGAAGTTATGGCATCTCCAGAGTGTCCAGGAGAACTGCCCACATCTCTGGTTACAAAGCACGACTGAGCACTTCTCTCCTGCTCCGTCCTTTCTCCTTCCAGGCCGTCAGGGCAGGGGCCGGTGGAGCACCCAGAGGGGTGCACGGGAGAGGTGCTCGTGCTCAGTGAACACCAGCAGATGGAACATGGCATGTGACACACTCTTTCTCTGCAAGTGGGAAATGAAACTCTGTACGGGACTTTACATCCATTGCCTCTGAAATACCACAGGACCCACAGCCCAGGATTCTGGTTGCTTCGTGTTTAACTTCCTTCTGCTGGATCAACCTTTTGTCCAGTGATCAGTAGAATACCTATTTGGGGCCTCTGTGTCTATCACGTGGGTAAATGCTCCCCAACATCAGCCCCTTCTTCCACAGGGGGTGCCAGCACGTTGAAGCTCTGGACCCTTTCTTGGGACCACCAAGAGGGCATATGAATGTGCCATTAATGGCTCATGCTACCAACCAGCAAAGATTTGGGAAAAGTCAACTTTTTGGCAGAGAAGGGAGGGGCCAGATGCTCTCAAGTTGTGTTGTGTGTCAGCTTCTCTCTCAAATGCCTCAGGAGGAGACCTGGACCCCAAAGGCTCCTTCTATCACAGTCTTGAGTAACTTGGATTCTTTCCCACCCCCGGGCCCTGAACTGTGAATGTAGTTGTGAATGTAGGGCCAGGAGCCAGGAGCAGAAGAGCTGAGTTGACTCTAGGGTTAGACTGGGTATTAAGCATGAGAGTCCAGGAGCAGAACATTCTAACCATTGAACCAAGGCTCTGCAACTAGATGAGCAGCCTGAAGAAAATGGATAGTTATAACTGCACAGAGACCGGCAGTGAGTTAGCGTGAGGCCTTCAGTTTGTGCCATTAGCTAAAGTCAAAGGTTAGAACAGGTAGAAGTCCTGGAGGCTACAGACAGAATGTGGGGAGAGAGAAGATGAAAGAGGGTGAATCCCATCATCCTTGTGACCCACTTCCTTCTCAGCACTAGGGAAGTGTGGTGTGGGGTTTCCTCATTCAGTCAGAGAAGCAGCTCCAGTCTGAGGCCTAGGCAGCCAGAGAGAGAGCGGCTAGGGGCCTGTAAGAACAATGGGCTGGCCAGACTGGTCTGAGCAGGGTGGTCGGATACACTCAATTATCCCCTGAAAGTGTAGGTAGCTCTTTCCTTCCCCCCTGCTCATTTAGCTTCCAACCCCGGTCTCTGACACCACTTTGCCACTGGCTCCACTTGCTCAGCCTCAACAAGGGGGGGCTAGCTTTCTAGTCCTATGGCCAGAATTGTTTTGCACTTTGGGTAAGGTGTCAATCATCCTTCATTCATGCCTTTGCTGTGGTAATGAATGAGACTTTCCGAAGGCAGTGGGAAGAAGCAGTAACTTCTGGAAGACAGATTCCAGTCCACAGATTATAGGGTTCAGACTTGAGAAATAATCAGCCATCAATTCTTCCATTCATTTGTTTTTCATGTACCCATCATTGATAAGTGCATAATCAATGGATGGGTACATCCATCCACCCACCTATTCATCCATTCCACCCATCCACCCATGTAATTATCTGGACTGACTGCCTTTTCTTTTTCCTCCCCTCTTTCCCTTCCTCTCTTCCTTCATCTCCTTCCCACCTTCCAAGAAATATATGTTTAGAATCCGCTATGTATGTGGTTTCTCCGATTTGGCAGACTTCTTCAAAAGATGAGAAGCTTCCATATGATAAAGGAATACTGAATCATCTAAGATGCCTTAATAATAGAAATTAGAATATTTTATCACAATGGTTTCCTTACTGGTCTCTCTGCTTCCAGAATTTTCACACCTAATCTATGTTTCTCACCATGATCAGAGTAATCATTTTACAATGTTCTTGTCCTGTCTCTTTCTCCTGCATGAAGTCCTTCATTGGCTCCATATCACCCTAAGTCAGAGTCCAAGCTTCTTAACATAATCCATAAGGATCTTCATGATCTGACCCTACGTGTCTCTCTAGCCCCGTGGCCTTTCTGCTCCTGTCATATACTTTACACGCCAACACCACCAAATGCTTACAGTTGACCTGACATTCCATGCTGCCTTATGCCCCTATACTTTTAAATATGCCAATCCCTCTACCTGGGACTTTTTACCATTACTCCATTCTCTGCACTTCCTTTCAATCATGAATATGCTTCCATTGTTATGATCATCACCCTGTATTGTAAATTATTTGCTTGGGTCTATTTTTCCTTCCAGACTGCTTGAATGCAAATAATCTGAGTTATTCATCTTTGTGGCCCAGTCCTAGTACATTGTCTGGTACTTAGAAGGCAGTCAATATGTGTTTCTGGAATGAATGGACAGGTGGGTAAATGATCGATGAGGGGATTAAAGAAGTGGATAGCCTTGGGACAAGATGGTTAAGGTATCCAAGTAACAGACCCCGCCCAAAGAAGGAGACAAATAACCTCTTTCCTTTGAGGAAAGCCCGGAACTGTGGCATAGGCCAGGCAAGGTGTCTAAGTCAGGAATGGGGAACTTGGGAATTACATGATGACTTTTTTGGGACTCACTTCCCCTTTCTTTTAGATAAAAGTTCCTTGGTGAGAGAGCTGGCCAGAAGCACCTGTATGCAGGGGTAAGAGTGCAGGATGAAGGCTGCAGAGAGTGAGATCCCTGATGCTCACTTCACTGTAGATAAACAGAACATCTCCCTCTGGCCCCGAGGTAAGCACCAGTCCCTACTCAGAACCCGCTCAATGCTCTCTGCCTAAACCCGCGTTTGCTGTTCCTTCAACAAATGTCTTCTTCTTCCACCAGAGCCTCCTCCCAAGATGGGTTCGTCTCCAGTTCTGAGGAAACCTTGCACGGTCCGTGCTGCCTTCGTCATCCTGACGCTGGTCCTGCTCGCCTCTGTCGTGCTGCAGGCCATTCTCTGTAAGTCCTCTGGCTTCATGATGTGGGCCAGCTCTTCTCCAGGGCCGGTCAGCTTCCGCACACCCAACCCTCTCTTTCCTGCTCTCCAGTAGTCTCTCCCGCCTATGGCTTTTTCATTTGCCTCATTTTATTTGCCTCTTTCCTTGTGCATTCACGGGTCCCTGTCCTCAGTACAATGAACTGCTGCTCTTTCCTTCCCAATTCCGGGGAGGTTTTTCTAAATGGGATCGGCACTTGCATGCTTGTGCTCAAAGATACACTCTTTGTTCCAAGGAAACATTCACCTATTTCTTTATCCCATGTCATTTTTCTCCTCCCTCTCTGAGCTCTATGTCCCTTCGATCCAGAGAGAGCGTTGTGGGACTCCCCAACAGTAAGTAAGATGTTTCCGACTCCACAAGGGATGGAATCCCAACCGTGTCCTCAACCCCAGCTGACTAGATGGGTAACTTGACCAAGAAGCCAACAAATCTCCAGGATTCTTCCCCTCCCCTGGACCCTTTTGTGCTCTCTTCATTCTCCTGTTCTCATGTCAAGGAAGCCTTCCTACTTCTTCACTGGATGTGTGACTTATCTCCCTTCTTCTCCCAGCTGAGGCCCGTGGCTTCTGCAGCTGGCAGAGCCTTCATCTTCCATCAGGAAGCAGAGGAAGGGGACATCTGTCTTCTCTTTTTATGGATTTGGGAGATATCTCATCTTAGACTTGGAGTCTCTGAGCAGAGTCTCCTCTGCTTGGAGCCCTCTTGGCTTACTTTTGTGGTTTTTAAAGAAATATATTTTATTAGTTTCAGAGAGTAAGGGAGAGGGATAGAGAGAGATGGAAACATCAGTGATGAGAGAGAATCATCGATCAGCTGTCTCCTGCACACCCCACGCTAGGGATTGCACTCACAACCTGGGCATATGCCCTTACCAGGAATCGAACTGTGACCTCCTGGTTCATAGGTCGATGCTCAACCACTGAGCCACACTGGCCAGGGGCTCTTGGTTTACTTTTGGTCTCCTCTCTGGCACCAAACCTGTGACCTAATCAGAGTGTGACAATGGGAGGGATAAGGGAAGAGGATAAATTGTTTAATAATTCTCTCTGTTTTCTCTGGATAAGTGACTTCCAAGTTAGAAGTGTGCATGGCTGGCTCTTCTCATGGTCACAAAGAGCCTGTGGACATTTGTGGGAGGGGTGGTGCTGCCCTGGCTGATGGCCACTGCAGGAGTCTCTGAAAGGAGAGGCTGGGAATCAAGTGACAGGGCACAGAGGGATGTGGGGAGGGGGCCAAAGGTGTGGTTGAGGGCGTCCCTTTACCAAATGTGCTCTGAACATTTAAAGAAAATTTAGGACTGTGTTATAATCCCTGGTTCTGTTGCCTGTGAGGTCTTCTAACAGAGAGCCCATGATTATCAATCTTTGCGTTGCCCCCATCTACCAGAGTTCCTGGCACATGGTAGGTGCCATCACTTGTTTGTTAAATAAATAGATTAGGAATGAATGTAGGATAAACAACAGCTCCTTGGGTTGGGTCCTTGGGAAACTTGAGCCCATCTCTTCCCCTTCCTCTTATCACACGGATAACACCCCCACTCCCCTCCCTAGGGATCCCTTTGACTGACCCCTTGACTTTCTCAAATCCAGATCCCTGGTTTATGGGCACACTATCAGATATAAAGACCAATGCCCAGTTGCTGAACAGTCGTGTGGACAACATCAGCACCCTGAGTTCTGAAATTAAGAGGAATAGAGGCGGCGTGAAGGCAGCTGGCATTCAGGTCCAGATGGTGAATGCTAGCCTGGATCATGTGCATTCTCAGATCCGGAGGCTGGAAACCGGTATGAAGGCAGTCAATGCACAGATCCAGATGTTAACAAGAAGTTGGGAGGAAGTCTACAGTTTAAATGCCCAGCTCCCAGAATTAAAAAGAGATTTGGATAAAGCCAGCGCATTAAATGCAAAGGTTCGAGGACTCCAGAGCAGTTTGGAGAGTATCAGCAAGTTACTCAAACAACAAGGTAAGTGATAGAGAAATTAATATTGCAAGCTGATCTGTGGCCCATGGGACCTTGTTGGTCTCAAGCCTGAGGCCATTGGGGCTGGTGTGTGTGTGGAGGGAAGCAGAAGAGGAGCAGGGCAGGCATGGCTGCAAAGCTAAGAAGAGAGGGCTCAGCATTGGGGTTGGGGAGGACTTAGGGGCTTTTTAGGAGAAAAGGAACCAGGACCAACTTGGGCTTCCACACAAAGGCACAGAAAATGGCATTAGGGAGTCTCTGTCCTGGTCCAAACCCAGCTATTTTCCATTAAGTTTCTTACCTAGAGCCCAGGGTCTCAGCCACTTGTGATGGCCAGTGGAGAATTGCTTCTCTCTCACGAGAGACAGATTCTTGATCCATCCTCTCTCTCTCCCCTCTCTGAGCCCAGAGACACTACTGACCTCAGTTAGGCTTTCAGAATCTGAAAGATTGTCCCCAAACACCTACACAAGGACCCAAGGACCCTAGAGCCCAGCCCCATTCATTGCTATCGCTGGGATCTCACTCAAGTGTCCCCACCTAGCCAGCACCCAGAGAAAGGAACACCAGTGTTCACCTTTCACCTGTTCTCCAGATGACATTCTACAGATGGTTTATCAAGGCTGGAAGTACTTCAAGGAGAACTTCTATTACTTTTCTCATGTCCCAAAGACCTGGTATAGCGCCCAGCAGTTCTGTGTGTCCAGGAATTCACAACTGACTTCAGTGACCTCAGAAAGTGAGCAGGTGAGTGCTATTTCTACTGGAGGTATATTAGTAGCTGCATTAGGCAGGATGAGCAAGATTATGCTGCCATGACAAAAATCCCCAAATATCAGTGACCTAACAATGAAGGATTACTTCTCACACTACATGTCCAACAAGGGCCTACAAGGGGTTTTGCTCATTGGGGTTACTCAAGGAGACTTCATCTCATGTATGTTTTCACAATTGCTGAGGCAGGAAAAGGAAACATGACACATTGTGTATTCTGGGCTCTGCCTGGAATTAACACATCTCTACTCACATTTTCATTGTAAAGCAAATGATGTAATACTCCTAGCTTCAAAGAGAGTAGGAAGGGACCATCTTTCTGGGTGCCCAGAAAACAGAAATATTTGTAAACAGCATTATTGACACCACAGAACCCAAGAAGTCTTCTACCTGGTGAGGCAGGAAATTGAACAAACCCCTTCCATTTGGAAGGTGTGGTAGTAGTGTAGGCAAGAGCTTGGTCCTGGGGTCAGAGTCTAGAGTCCCCACCCTGCCTCTAACTAGTCCCAGATGAAACACAAGTAATAACAGTACCTGTCTCAAACAAATAACAATACTCAAGTTATTCAGACCAAGTAAGTGCATACAAATGTATATAGTACCTTGTACATACGAAGTGCTCACTACATTTAGATATCATTGGGTCATTCTCCTGGGGTCCCTGTTCTGGAGTTTAGCTGATTCTTTCTTCTGCTCTAGCACCTGCTTCCTGAGGGTCAGAAGGCCTGAGTCCCGAGTCCGTTAGTTGCAGGGCAAAGACAAATAATTAGGAAGATGGACTCTGGGCTCTGAGCGGGGACAGGAAGAAGCTTGAGAAAGGTCAGGATGCAGGTGTGTCTGTGGGTTCAGGGGCTGTCACCGAGGACAGGAGAACACCCAGAGTGACAGGTGCTCTAATTCCGAGTGATGGCAGCATCTCTGCTCATTCTGTCTTCCCTACAGGAGTTTTTGTACAAGACAGCAGGCGGACTTTTCTACTGGATTGGCCTGACCAAAGCAGGGACTGATGGGGACTGGTACTGGGTGGATGAGACTCCATTCAACAAGGTCCAGAGTATGAAGTAAGGCCCCCAGAGCCCTCCTTCCCAGCATGACTTTTTTTGGATCAAGGCCAGGGTAGAAGCCTGGGATGATATTTCCCTCTGACTATAGCATTTGTGACCCTTCCCTGTCCACTGGTGCCTGGAGCACTGAACCAAAATCCAGCTCACTTCTGTCACTAATTGGCTGTGGGGGCGGGGTCATACCTGTGGCCTCTCTGTACCCTCAGGGGTTTGGCAGCGTGGCTGTCCAGCCAGCTTCGGCAGGGGGCCTGGTCTACGTCTACATGTCCTAGTGTGGTTTGTGTAGAGCCATGAGAGAGGTGGGCCGGCTCCGTCCTAATCTGAGGTGATGGCAGGCTTAGAGGTTGACAGCTCACCAATTCCCTTCCTCTTAGGCGTGGGTGCAAAAACTTGTGACATTATCACCTGGGACCAAATCTTGGATTGAAGTTACTCGTTTCTTCATTGGAAATATGTTTTCCTTTGTTTTTTTTCATGTGATAGGTTCTGGATTCCAGGTGAGCCCAACAATTTGGGGAACAATGAACACTGTGCCAATTTAAAGATGTCCTCACTTCAGTCATGGAATGATTCCCCCTGTGACCATCCGTTCCTTTTCATCTGTAAACGTCGCTATATTCCATCAGAACCATGACAGGACTGACTTCCAAGTTGGCACTTTGAGCCTCAGTGCTTGTCCAAACTCAAGGAAGTGCCACTTGTCCTCCACACTCCAAGGTGACTTTGCACCTTAACTTCCCTTGCTTCAAAAGTGTCCCTTTGCACCTGGAGTCCATCTGCCTTGGCTGGAAGTTCTTCGACCCCATAGAGGGAGCTGGAATGGAAAGATCTTGGGTTAAAATGGGAGGGGAAGGTGAAGAAGATTTAGAAATTCAAACTGCCTCAGTAGATGGATCAGGACCCATAATTTGGGGCACCCCCTGGGGTTTTGCTTCTTCTTGGCTGAGCTAGGTAATGTGTGTGCGTGTGCGTGTGTGTGTGTGTGTGTGTGTGTGTGTGTGTGTGTGTATACCTAGTTATTTTTTGAAAAAAGTATTGTGCCTGCAATATGGTGACAGGACTTGAGGGAGATCAGAGTAGAGGCAGGGAGAGCTGTTGGAAGATAATTGAGTCCCTTCAGAGAAGCCTCAGTTTCATCACATGGAAGCTGCTTCAGATGCCCAAGGATTCTGCTACTGATAGCCAGCAGCTTTCCAGTGGACCCCCCAAATTCCCAGTTGCCTGCTCAGAGGGCCGTGTTCTTTGGGAAGACTCTGCTCTTGGGGATCCTGTCCGTGCCATGGCCCCATCACCCTCTTCATCGACATCCTCTGAGGTCTGAACCCCTTCTTCCCTGGGACAGGCTCAACTGGTTCAGATCAGGGGCTGACAGGGAGACATGTTTCCTTTGGAGCTGGACCAGCATCGGGTGGTCCTTTCCATCCCTCTCACTCGGTAAACTCTGAGGCCCTCTGTCTCGCCGTCCTGCACCTCCCCTTTTTTCTGCATTTCTTCTCTTCCCATGCAAAGGAAGTGGCCCTCAGTACCTGAAGAGTTCACCTCCAAGCTTCATTAGAATAAAATGCTGCCTGGGTAAAGGCCTCCCTCTGTGTGCACGTTTCATTCCTGGGTGTACATCTGCTTTGCTAGACATGAAGTTCTGGGGCATCCTCAGGAATCGGTGGGGGTTCAAAATGAACAAGGAGTAGAGAAATCCCACAGAATAAGACCAATGCTTATCCCTGGTTTTATCAAAGTGAAGGAGAGTGAGGTCTCCAGTGTCTGTTTCTCTCTCTCTTTTTTTAAGAAAAATGTTTTTATTGGTTTTTTTTTAGAGAAAGAGGATGGGAGAGGGAGAGAGAGACACATTGATTGGTTACATCCTGGGAATTGAGTCTGCAACCTGGGTATGTGCCTTGACCAGGAATCGAACCAGCAACCTTTTGGTGCACAGGACAGCCCTCAACCAATTAAGCTACACCAGCCAGGGTGGTCTGCAGTGTCTTGACTTTCTTGGTGGTCTTTTCTCTCAGATGTTCACTGGAAAGTCTATTCTCTGGTTTTACTCTCAAGGGCAAAACTCAGGTTTCCTACTCTTCCCAGAACCCTGTTCCCAGGAATTGGGTTCAAATCTCAGCCCAGTGGCTGAGGCAGGAATCCAGGCAGTGGGCTGTCTTCCAGGCCATAGACTTCTTGTTTTGACCTCACATGGTAGAAGGGCCAGCAAGTATAAGGCCATTAATCCCCTTTGTGAGAATACCACCCTCACGTCCTCATTACCTCCCAGAGGCCCCACTTCCTAATGTTATCAAATTGATGGTTAGGATTTCAGCATATGAATTTGGAGGGGACACAAACACTCAGACCATAGCAGTCATTGTGCGCGGCCCACACTTAACGGATGATGGCGTATCTACAGAAATGATATGTAATCTTTCTGTATGGGAGATTTAGCTATTTGTCTGTTTATTCAAGCATTTATTTATATCTATGAATTCGTAGATTTTATACTTTGGGTTATAATCCAATAATACTATATATATTTTCTTGCTCAAGTCTTTCCAGCTTTGGGAGCTTCTTTCATTCGGCTCCTGTGTCCTTTTGATATATTTGCATCATTTTTTAAAAACCACCTCTTGCCGAAACCGGTTTGGCTCAGTGGATAGAGCGTCAGCCTGCGGACTGAAAGGTCCCAGGTTCGATTCCGGTCAAGGGCATGTACCTGGGTTGCGGGCACATCCCCAGTAGGAGATGTGCAGGAGGCAGCTGATCGATGTTCCTCTCTCATCGATGTTTCTAACTCTCTATCTCTCTCCCTTCCTCTCTGTAAAAAATCAATAAAATATATTTTTAAAACAACAACAACAACAACAAAAAAAACCCCACCTCTTTACTTTCTGACAGTATAAGATACCCCAGGATCATTTTGCAGATTTCCTGCTCCTGTCCTAGCATCAGACATTTCTCCAAAACATCCTGGCTTTTCTGTTTGTGTGTGTGTGTTTTTTTAAGAATGGTATTAGAAACCAAAATGTGGGTGTTGTTGCTTCTCCTCGGCTGAGATTTCTAGGCAATGCAAGCATGGGTATCTAACTGGCTTTTGAAAAGATCATTATGTGAGCAATACGGTGACGGGACTTGAGGGAGGCAAGACTAGAGGCAGGGAGAACTGTTAGAAGACTAATTGGGTTACGGCCGGGTGAGACAGTGGCCTGCACGGAGGCCTGTGATGGGAGAGATTACAGTTTATGATAAAGGATGCAAACAAACAGCTGTAGCGATATACAGGGTGTGGTCAGGAGAGGCCCAGAGCGCAAGAGCCTCTGTCCCGAGGAATTGGGGAGCAATCCCCTCCTGGCACATGGATGTGTTCCCCAACCAGGATCTTGAAAGCTCCTCGGATCTCTCTCCTTTTTTGTGAGTTTTTATGACTCCATCTCGAGGCCCCCTCTCCTGCCTGGAGGTGGGGGTGGGATGGGTTGGGGTGAGATTGTGCCGGGAGCCGGTCCATCCTTGCTGTTTCAAGGGACCTGGCATATATGGCATACTGTTCTCAATATGTTTGCTCACCTTCTTGGCACTATGTGTTTGAACCAAGGTCACCTCTCTGAGAAAGGTTGTTTCCCCAGGTAGGGATTTTCCCCTGAAGTTAGGGAGGGAATAAAACCCCTTAACTAAGTGCCAGGCGGGTAATTAATCACTTTAACTACGAACAATCATGCTTAAGCTACATAATCTTTACTCCCTGGAATGGAGATAAGAAACACCCTAACCTTTGGAATAGAGATTGATAGGATTGGAATCAACTGGTATAAATACAGATGTAACAAGACAACAGGACACAGAACCTAGACACAGAACCTAGAGACAGAACCTAGACACAGAACCTACACAGAACCTAGAGACAGAAGAACTTCGCTGGAGAGAACATGGCAAAGATCCTGGACAGAAACTGGCCACAGAACCTAGAGACAGAACCTAGCAAGAGAACCTGGCCTCAGAACCTAGAGACAGAACCTAGAGACAGAACCTAACGAGAGAACATGGCAAAAGATCCTGGACAGAAACTGGCCACAGAACCTAGAGACAGAACCTAGCAAGAGAACCTGGCTGAAGAACCTAGAGACAGAACCTGGCCACAGAACATGGCAAGAGAACCTGGATAGAACCTGGCTGGAGAACCTAGCAAGAGAACATGGCTACAGAACCTGGATGGAGATTCTGGATAGAACCAGGCGAGAGAACCCAACTATGCTGATGAACTGAATGCTGCCTCCATGTCATTCCTTCTTCGCCGACTCCGTCCACACCTTTGGGGACCCCTGGACCTGCTGGGGTTGGACCCCAGCAGGATTGGAGAGATAGGAGCTTGCTCTTTCTGGGAGGGACCAGCTCCCACCCTGAAGCCATCTAGGGGTCCACCCCTAGTGACCTTATTAGCATAAACTCAAGGGTAGTTGAAAGGGGCTTGCTATGAATAACAAAAGCACTATTACCCAGGAAATGTCATGGGTTTTAGGAGCTCTGTTCCACGAACTGGGACAGAATCCAATATATGTTTCATTCTACCACAGACCCTTACCTGCCATGCCAGCTGTGAGGTCCTGAGTGGACAGTGAGGCCCTGCAAGGGTCTAGGGCAGTGATGGCGAACCTATGACACGCATGTCAGAGGTGACACGCGAACTCATTTTTTTTGGTTGATTTTTCTTTCTTTTTTTTTAATTTTTTAAAAAAAATATATTTTATTGATTTTTTACAGAAAGGAAAGGAGAGAGATAGAGAGTCAGAAACATCGATGAGAGAGAAACATTGATCAGCTGCCTCCTGCACATCCCCCACCGGGGATGTGCCCGCAACCCAGGTACATGCCCTTGACCGGAATCGAACCTGGGACCTTCCAGTCCGCAGGCTGACGCTCTATACACTGAGCCAAACTGGTTTCGGCATTTTTCTTTGTTAAATGGCATTTAAATATAGAAAATAAATATCAAAAATATAAGTCTTTGTTTTACTATGGTTGCAAATATCAAAAAATTTCTATATGTGACACGGCACCAGAGTTAAGTTAGGGTTTTTCAAAATGCTGACACGCCGAGCTCAAAAGGTTCGCCATCACTGGTCTAGGGCTAGGATTAAGTCAGCCATGGGTCACAAGGATTTTTTTCTGCAAAGCTGGGAAGGAACCTCTGATCTCTTCCTAAGTTGGTGGTGAAAGTGTTTGTGATTTGGGGGCAGAGGCTAGTGTTTGGGGGCTATGCTGGAGAGCAGATGTTGGGGTGATGGGCCTGAGGGGAGGGTGAGGACTGGTATGGACTGGGAAGAGGAAGAGGATAGGGCCTGGGCAGACTGGTGCCTGGGTGTCCTGGGGGGAGGGGCCATACTGGGGGGCTTCTGCTGAGTCAGCGGGGAGGGGAGGAGGAGGAAGGCAGAGTTTAGGTGTGGTCAGGAGCATAAAAGTCCAGGGTATCTCAGCTTCCCTCCCACCACAACCGGCCCACAGCACAACCCTTCAGGGGCTGAGGCGGGGAGCAGCACTGGAGGCAGAAGGAAGCAGAGATGAATGGTGACAAGGTCCGATTCTGCAGAGACAACCAGTCTGTCTCCCTGCACCCCCACGGTGAGAACACTGGAGGCTCAGCCGCCCTCAATCAGGCACTGGCTTGCTTGTCCCCCAGCCCTCCGCCATTTTCTCAGCCCTCTCTTGGCAGCCCAGAGCTCCCTACGCTCATCGCTATGTCAGCCTCCAGAACTAACAGGCAAGGGCAGAAGGTGGGTCGGGAGAGGACAGAGAGGCAGGGCATCCTCCACGCTCTTCACGAAATCCCTCAGACCTTTATTTAAGGATGGCAACCTGGCAAGAGAGAGTGTGAACTTCGAATTCAGAGGGACCTGGTTTTGAATCCCATCTCTGTACCCCATGAGGTTCAGGGGATCAGCTCCCAGACTCCCCCGCACAGCCCTTCTTAGAACATGAACAGGGGGCCTTCTGACCCAGGCAGAGGGAGTCTCCAGGACTGATGCATGTCAGTTTGTGGAGGAGGCAGCAGCCCCAAAGACCTGTGAGTCTTGCTCTGGTCAGGATTCATGGGCAAGACTGGCCCTGGGACTCCGAGGTCAGGATTCTCGCGCTCTCCCTCCCGTCCTGCCTCCCTCCATCCTTCCCCCTTCTCTCATTCAAATCACTCTTCTGTTGCCCTCCTTGTCCAGGCAGGGTTCTGTACCCTGTACACCTTCTCCAGCCTTTGTGTTGCTACCAGGCTTCATTCCCCTTCTCCGTGATAAGTGCTGGTGTTCTCATCCCCGTCAGACAGGCCAGGAGACTGAGTCCGAGGGGCTAACTCTGCCCAGCCCACACTCTCCTCCTGGACACCGGTGTCTCCCCCACAGGCCTGAACTCCTCGGCAGTGGCTCCAGCAGCCCCCAAGATGTCAAGGCTTGTTCTGGCCAGCCTGGTGTTTATGGTCATGATCATTGCCACCTCTCTGATGGCTCTCTTTGTTGTGGGTAAGCTCCTAGGTAATCCGAATCCCACAGGCTCTCTCTTTCCTGGATAGAGGCCACTGACCAAGGGGAGCCTCCCAAGAACAGAGGCCCAAGAGC